TGTGTGTCGGCCGCCCACCGCGATCTGGCCCTGCGCGCCTGGCTGCTGCTGCCCCCCCGGCTGCTCATCGTCGAACTCTTCGGCGTCTGAGTCCCTTCTTCCTCTCGGCCGTCCCCCTTTCCCTTTGCTCGCCAGCGAATTCTCTAGCTAGTGCCCCTATCTAGCTTCTCGCTGAGGCGGAGTTCGCTGCCTCGCCGCCACTTTTATATCCCGCTGGCCGGAGCCCCGCAAAACGTCAAACTACGAGGGCAGGCCCAGAAAGAGTTCGATGCTCCCTCGACCGTGGTTCCCAGACCCCCTCGGGCAAGGAGAAGCTCACGACGGGCGGTTTTTCAGAATTTTCTGCGTCCGAGCGCCTTCCCCAGGCCCCACGGCCGTCAAAGAACGATTCGGGATGAGAAACCGGTCCCGGGGAAGAGGTCCAGACCTCTGGGGGCCGACGTTGTGAGAAAATCACGATGTGGGGGGTTGGGAAGCATGCCAGGTACCCCCACGCAGGCCAAAGTGGACAGGCCGGGCATACCCTTCTACAGGAGGAATCTTCAAGAATGGTGAAAATAGTCTGGGGAAGATTGTTCTTGCTCTTTTTGTTTGTGCTTTGATGATCTTTAGTTTTTCTTCCAAAATCCGCCTGTAGGAGGACACGCCCGACCTAAGCGCAATTTGTAGGATAATTCAGCGGTGGACAAGGATTTCGCCAACCGGGGGGCCATTGGGCGCATGCAAGGGTCACCCACCCACCCTGGGACCATGGAGTTTCCCCTCACCTCCTGAGGGGGCTGCCCCACTCTTGGATGCGAATCCTGTGTATTCGGAATGAGGAGGGGCCGATCGACTTAAATCGGGCATATTCAAAAATAGTCAAAATAGTCTGGGAACGATGATTCATTAGTTTTGACAATTTTGGGTTATTTGTTGACTACTTTTTTTTTTCGTCCAAGATCCGCCTGTGGGGGGACACGCCCGACCTAATGATAGACAGGGAAGTCCCCTGAATATCTCCGCCCATCAACAGGCTACCAGCTGGGCTCGCCCCCAAGCGAAGGGTGTCCCCCGCTTGACCGCGCCGACGTTCACCCCGAAGGACTGTCCAATGGCGGCCCCGCTGGCAGGCACGGCCGGTTGGTCAGAGGTCGGCGATCCACTTCCCCCCCCCCCCTTCTCCTCCAGCTCCTCCTCTCTCCCTCCCTCCCTCCCTCCCTCCCTTCCTCTCTCCCTCAATTTCCTCTGGCTCTGTCAAGTGGTCATGCATACTGATACTCATGCCTTCCACCCTCCCTCCCTCCCTCCCCCTTCCCCTCAGCCATCCCCAGACATGCGATGTTAGGATGTTTTGTTGTTTGGGTTGTTGTAATTGTTGCTGTTGTGGTTGTTGTTGTGGTTGTTGTTGTGGTTGTTGTTGCTGTTGTTGTGGTTGTTGTTGTTGTTGCTGTTGTTGTTGTTGCGGTTGTGTTTGTTGTTGTTGTTGTGGTGGTTGTGGTTGTTGTGGTTGTTGCTGTTGCTGTAGCTGTTGTTGTTGTTGTTGGTGGTGTTGTTGTAAAGGTTGTTGCTGTTGATGTAATTGCTGTTGTTATGGTTATTGTTGTTGCTGTTGCTGTTGTTGTTGATGTTGCTGTTGTTGTTGGTGTTGTTGTTGGTGGTGGTGTTATTGTTGTCGTTGTCGTTGTCGTTGTCGTTGTCGTTGTCGTTGTCGTTGTTGTTGCTGCTGCTGATGTTGTTGTTGTTGTTGCTGTTGTTGTTGTAGTTGTTATTATTGTTGCCGTTGAACATTATTACTTCTAAAGAATAATTATTGTTGGGACCCCTGGTGCACGACCCCCCCGCCGCGCCTAGGCCGCAGCCACATTTTCATCATTTTCGTGAGGAAGTCTCAGGCAAAACGGGGGAGTCTGGATCCGGTTGTGTTGTTACGATCGGTTTTCCCTTGCAAAAAATAAGCTAAAGTGGACATTTCTTGTTCTAACATAACCAAACTTCAAGAATCCCTTGCAAAAAATAAGGTAAAGTGGACATTCGCGCGCGCAAGACGAAATCCTTCCAAAACCTTAGTTTTCGTAGCGATTTTAACATAAAAACATCAAAAAACCAATGTTTTTTTTTTTTTTGTTAAAAAAAAATGTCAAAATTTCATCCCGCGCGCTCTTGCGGATTCGTAGGAAACCCAACACTTTTTAAACATTTCTGTCAAACGGGCTTTTGCGAGCAACTTTTTCGAACTTCTGCAACAACGGTTGCGCACCTGCCAGGGCCATCATCCCTGTCAAATAATACCATGCGGGACACATTCGTTTTTTCTTCGCGCGCGCACGCCGTCGTCGTCGGCCGCGGGGCCCTGAATAGTAGCCACGGTCGTCCGCATGCCACGAAGTGAAGTGTCCGAACGTCATAGGGCGGGAAGCTGGGTGTGGGTGGTGGCGAAGAGTCGTTTGGAAATTTGGTAGAGCTTGAACCGGCCCCCCCACAAAGTGGGGGTATTGCCCGCCTCCTATGAAAACCCTGGCGCTGGTGAGAACGGAGTGTCCCCACGTGCTAGTAATTGTTGAACATTATTCCTTCTAAAGAATAATTATTGTTGGGACCCCTGGTGCGCGACCTCTGCGCCGCGCCTAGGCCGCAGCTACATTTTCATCATTTTTCTGCGAAAGCTTCAGGAAAAGTGGATTACCCCCGGATCCGGTTTTTTGTTCCCCCCCGCTTTCCCTTGCAAAAAACACTATAAAATGACATTTCTTGTTCAAATATAATCAAATTTCAAGAATCCCTTGCAAAAAATAAGGTAAAGTGGACATTCGCGCGCGCAAGACGAAATCCTTCCAAAAGCTTAGTGTTCGGAGCGATTTTAACATAAAAACATCAAAAAACCAATGGTTTTTCAACAAAAAAATGTCAAAATCTCATCCCGCGCGCTCTTGCGGATTCGTAGGAAACCCAACACTTTTTAAACATTTCTGTCAAACGGGCTTTTGCGAGCAACTTTTTCGAACTTCTGCGACAACGGTTGCGCACCTGCCAGGGCCATCATCCCTGTCAAATAATACCATGCGGGACACATTCGTTTTTTCTTCGCGCGCGCACGCCGAAATCTCCAAAAACCATTGGGTTCTGTGGGTGTGTACCCCACGCCAGTGTAGTAGCCACGGTCGTCCGCACGCCACGAAGTGAAGTGTCCCAACGTCATAGGGCGGGAAGCTGGGTTTGGGTGGTCGCGAAGAGTCGTTTGGATATTTGGTAGAGCTTGTAATGCCCCCCCACGAAGTGGGGGTATTGCCTGGTGTCGTATGAAAACCCTGGCACTGGGGAGAACACCACGCGTTCGGGTAAAATGATTGTTGTTGTTGTTGTTGTTGTTGTTGTTGTTGTTTGTTTCTGGTATACGAAGTCCCAGGCAGTCCTGGATCTTCCCCCAGGGCCGGCGCCCCATGTCCTGAACCATTGTTGTGGACGGTCCGAGGGGGCCTGGCGAGGGCTGCCCGAGGCCGAACGACACGTCCAACCACCGCCCGTCGTGTTTGTTTGGTCTTGTTCCACGACGCGAGCATACACCTGGGGAGGAGTTCTCTTGCCCCCTGTTGTTCCTCCTCCTCCTCGTCCTCGTCCTCCTCCTCCCGTCCCCCTCTGGCCTTTCACGCCCCTTGGTCAGTCCTTTTTCCCTACCTAGGCTCTGCCTGGAAGGGTTCTTACTCGGTAAGCTTAAAGGGCCGGGCAGTGGGGCCTGGGGCCCGCCCCAGGCGGTTCCCCCAGTATCCGCCTCGCGGTTCCCCCAGTGACGTTCCCTTAGCTTCGCGTTGCTTATCTCATCTTAGCTTAGCTTATTTAATATTACCTTAGCTTAGCTTCATCGTACCTCAGTTTTATCTTAACTTAGCTTACCTTCATCTTAGCTTCGCTGAGCTTTAGCATAGCGCAGCACCGGATAGCATAGCATAGCGTAGCACAGCATAGCGCAATACAGCATATCATAGCATAGCTCAGCATAGCATAGCACATCGCAGCATACCACAGCATAGCATAGCTTAACATAGCGCAACACAGCACAACACAGCATAACACAGCGCAGCATAGCATAGCATAGCATAGCATATCATAACATAGCATAGCATAGCGCAGCTTAGCATAACATAGCATAGCATAGCATAGCATAGCTTAGCATAACACAGCGCAGCATGATATAGCATTGCTGATCATATCATGACATATCATAGCATAGCATAGCATAGCGCATCATAGCATAGCATATCAGAGCGCAGCATAGCATGGCATAGCATATCATAGCATAGCATAGCATAGCAACTAATGCTGCTTTCCTAGGGGCTCCAACTTCTAGGTAAGGTCGCACTGGGGTAATCTTTTCTCAGGCCATAGATGATCGCCTGAGCTTGCCTATGGCAGGTCGGCTCGTGTAGCGATCCCAGTTTGCCTGGCGCTCTGCTACTGTGCCAGTCACGCCGTAATGTGATTCAGTGATCGCGCGCTCCCCATCTCCTCTCCTTCCGGAAAAAAATCCCAGGGAGGAGTTCTTGGAACATACCTCGAATCTCCGGCGGCCGTTCGGGACGATTCCGGCAGCCCCGCAGCGCTCTTGACGAGGCGCAGCTGATGGACGGCATCCTGAGGCTGGGAAGCCGCCGACAGCCGACGAGAGCGTCTGACGACCTCGAACAGTGACCCTCGAGCATGTCAAGGTCCTCCTCCTCGCCTGTCGCGAGCATGCCCAGGTCCTCCCCCTTGCCTGCTCCGTGTGCTCGTCTGCCCTGGCAGCCGAGGAGGAGGAGGAGGAGGAGGAGGAGGAGGAGGAGGAGGAGGAGGAGGAGGAGGACCGCCGACCCACAACCAGCCACGAGCACAGGAGCTCGCAACCTAGGGACGAGCCCAAGAAACCCACCAACATCATCAATGCTGAGAGTCATGAGTGAAAGGGGCCCCGCGGCGCGGGGTAATGTCGGTGGTTTCAGGGGGCCCGTGGGTGTCGCGGAGGGAGGAGCGTCGCTCCAACTGCCGAGGTGCGGAGCACCGAGGGGGTCGTCGCGGCGATCCGGTCGATGATGCGGTTGTTCCGCAGCGTCATCGCGCTCCACGGACAGACAGGCACGACGACGAGGAGGAGGGAGTTGGGAGGAGGGAGGAGGGAGGAGGGAGGAGGGAGGAGGAGGAGGAGGAGGAGGAGTTGGAAGAGCAGGAGGAGAAGGAGGGGGAGGAGGAGGAGGAGGAGGAGGAAGAGGAGGTGGTGGAGGAGGAGGACGAGGACGAAGAAGAGGAGGAGAGTGGCGCTGCGGCAGGCAGGAGTATGCACGGGGGGCTACGGGGTCTGTCCGAACCCATGCAGGCACCCGCGGACATCCGACCACCCAGCGAGCACGGCGACACAAGCGACGACTACGCATGTTGGACCCCAACGGGGGCATGGGCAGCCCAACCCAAGTTAGCGATCAAACATGACTACGCGTACACAGGCACACACAAAGTTCAGATAACGCAAGGGATCGAACAACAGGGCACCGACGCGCCAAGACAAATAATCCGACCACCTCCACGACCCCGACCTGCCGCCACTCCGAGCATGCATCACGGGAGACCATCAAACGCATGAGCGACGCAACAACATTGGGGTTGTCTGCGCCGACACTGGCGCGTAAGCTGCCCGCGCAAGGTCGCGCGTCTGCGCCTTCGTCTCCACTGTGGCGTGCCGCGCGGGCGGCCCGCGTAAGCCACCGCGTAAGGTCGCTAACGATATTTCCCGTAAAAGAGCCGTGTTTGATCGTCGCCCACAGCATGCCTCCCAAGAAGAGCGAGGCCGACTTGCTCGCCGACGTGGTCGCGCACCGCGGGCGGGCTGCTGCCAGCCAGACTGCGCTGAGGGATCGGTGCGGCTGCGGCTTGAAGGCAAGGCGCCGCAAGCGGGCAGGGCCCGAGGAGCTCCGAATGTACAACTGGCACATGCAGCACAAGGACACCGCCTCTGCGCACTGGCATCTCCTCTGCGCATTGGCACGCCGTTCAATGGACGGCAGCAGAGCGGAGGTAACTTCGGGGGGTCGAGGCGCAGAGGGGCCTTCTCCGAGCGGGTGTGTCCAAGCAGCCAGCGCACCACGCCACGTCGGCACCGCCGGACCGCACCCGTCGGTCGTTAAAAGTATGTATTTCTGGATTCCCAGATTCCAACCTACTTTAAGCGCCTTCCAACTTCAATGATCGAGTGGCTTCACCTTTTCCGGCCTCCTTCGGGGGCAGGCGGACACCCTATCTGTTTTCAACGCCTTCCCACTTCATGTTTCTACCTACTTCTTCCGACCGATGGACCGCAATGGGGAGGGCGATAAATGGGGGGGCAGCGAGGGCTGCCGAAAGCGGGCCCTTTCGGGCACCTGAAAGGGGCCCTTTGGGGCCCAGAGGGGGGCCTCTAGGGCCCCCAAAGGGCATTTCTCTTTCCCCCCAAGCGTGCAGTCGGACCGAGGTACAAGATCGAGGTCGATTCGGGGAGGGTACCCTGGTGTTCTTCGTGGTCGTTGGGTGCTCTTGTGCATCCCGGGAGATGGCACCCTTGGATGTTTTGTCTGTGTTGGCTGGCGGAGGGTCTCATATGTTCTTGAGGGGTGTTCTTCTAGCCGAGGTCCGACTGTATCCCTGTATCGCCGTGTTCAGGGGTCAACACTTCGTGCACACCAAGACGCACGACCGACGCGCAGCCACTTCCTACGGGCATCACGCCGCGATCGTCCACCTACCCACGACCGACGACCCACGATCGACGACCAACGTCAACGACCAACGAAGCACGAACACATGGACGAGGGCACGGACAACTAGTACTGCTACGACTGCATGCACATCGACCGCCACCGGATGACAAGATCCATTTCCGGATATTTCTCAGAGAGCTAAGAGGATTTCAGATTAAGAAGTTGGAGCCGCAGGGTAGCCCTGGAGCTCGTTCTGGCTTCTGGCAGGAATCCCTGGCGCGGCCGGTTTGAGCCGGCAGCGTGTTCCGGCAGGCCTTTTCTAAACGTTTCCCAATACGCGTGCACAGAAGCTCTCCACAGAAGCTCCCACAGAAGGTCTCCCATAAGCGGCCTTTTCCAGAAGCTCTCCACAGAAGGTCCTTCGGAAGCTCTCTCCAGGAGGTTGCAGAGTTCTTCGGCAGGCCTTTCCGTGCCCTTCGGGCGCCCTGCTGCCGGGGCACTCGACCCCCCAAGTCGAGCCTTCGCAGTCCAGCCGGCAGCGTACTGACCGGGGCATCGGGTGGCGCACGCCGCGAAGAGAGTTCCACTCAGGAGGGAAAGAAACACACAGACACAATTAATCGTCGACTCTCCAGAAAATATGCGAAAATATGGGAATTGGGCGGGAAGACAAAAACCCAGACAATATGAGAAAATATGGGGAATCTTTTTATTTGTGTGTATTTATTTGTGTGTCCTAATTTCCCTTTAGCCACGGTGCGATAATCATTGGGAGAGCTCTCGTGCTCCGCATGGGGCGGGGGGGCGAGGCCCAGGCTCCGTAGTTGGAGCGCCCCGCTCTGGGTGCGCCGCCCTCTGGGTCGTACAGGTACGAACGGGTCAGAGGCCCTCGAGGCACGAGGCCCAGACCCCCTCGGGTCATGAAAAAACGTGAGGGGAGGTTTTTGTTCCCATTTTCGGCCTCTGGGGGCCCTTGATCGGGTTTCGGGACCGTCAACAACAAGGACTCATGATGAAAAACCGGTCCCGGGGAATGGGCCGAGACCTCTAGGGGTCGACGTTATTCATTGCGTCGGGGGTCTGGGGACGTGGCATCCAACGACCCACCATTCCCGCGGCCTGCCAGGCTTTTCTGCAGAGAGTGGCAGGGGCCATGACGGACCAGCCTGCGACACAGATCCACGACGCATATAGCAGAAGCAGGCCGCGAAGTCAGACGCCGCCGAGACGGAAGGAAGAGGAGTTGGAATTGGAGATGGAGTTGGAGGAGGAGGAGGAGGAGGAGGAGGAGGAGGCGGAAAGGGACGAAGAGGGGAGAGGGAGGATGAAGAGGAGGCAGGAGAGAAGAGCGAGGAAGGAGGAAGGAGCCCCCTCCCACCCCCTCTCCCCGCCTCCCCCTGCCAGCCCCCGACCCTGAGATCCGACGACGCGACAGAAAATGCGGCATCGTGAAAATCACCACCAGCGTCGCTGACCCCATCCTTCTGCGCCACTTCTGCAGACAGGATCGGTCCGCGAGGGCCCCTGGGGGCCCGAAGCCTGGCGACCGCCCCCGCGGTGAAACCTCTGCGACGCCAGGAGGCCCCGTCCTTCTGCGGCATGCTTCGGGCCGCACCGATGCCGCGCGGGCCCCGGGGCCCGAGACGGTGGGCGAGAGGGGGCCCGAGGCGAGAAGCCTGCGACGCCAGGATACCCCCAGGGCCGGCCGGCCGGCCGTGCGCCGAAGGCGACGCCTGGGACCCGGAGCTGGAGCCGGAGCTCGGGAGCTCGACGGGATCGCCGAGGTCGGCGACAAGGCGCGCGCCGCGCGCGCGAGGCACGGCCTGGCCAGTGGCCGCTTTCGGCGGCGAGCGGGGGGGGGGAAGTGGGAAGGGGCGGGCCTTCTCAGAGGGCTCGGCAGTCCCCACGCCCCATGAGGAAGTTTTCTACAGGCCTTCCCCGAAGGCGCGAAGAGCCTCGCAGAAGGAGCGAGTGCTTCTGAGAAGCCCCGCCGCCTTCTGAGAAGGCCTTGTCCTTCTCACTTAGCCCCCTCGCCCGCCGCCAACAGATGAGAGAGACATCGGCGGCCCTCCCGCCTGGCGCCCAAAAATCCATCGAGGGTCCGTCCCCAGAGGCCTCCCTGGGCCCCTCAATGCTATGGCCCCCTTCGTGTTTTTTGTCGGTGCGGTTCCTGTTGCCCCAGACCCCCCTGGGGTCAGGAGGAAAATTCGCGGCGGGGAGCTTTTCGCTATCTTCGGCCTCGGGGAGTCCTTACCGCGGGCCTCGGGACCGCCAAAAAACGGCACAGGATTACTCGTCCTGTGTTGTTTTCTGACGGCCCCGAGGCCCCGAGGGTTCATCCTGTGTCGTCTTCTCGACACAGGATGACTCATCCTGTTTCGTTTTTTTTTGAACACAGGAGGACGCTTCCTCTATCGTTGCTTGGCTCATCCTATGTAGTTTTCGATTCATCCGTCGACCCCCAGTGGTCTGGACCCATTCCCTGGAACTGTTTTCTCTTCCTGGATGAGAACCCGGTCCACGGGAATGGGTCCAGACCATTGGGGGTCGACGTCATGAACAGAGTCATGACGTCGGGGGGTTGAGGCCGTGCCGTGAGGGCCTCCAGGGAGTCCCCCAAGAACGGGATGAGCGAGGCCGGGACAGGCCTGGCCAAGACGGCGACTACAAAGGTCGGGCGGGTGCTAAGGGGGGGTGGCCCAAAGGGTGGGTGAAGAAGTGGCCCTCAAGGGGCCCCTTGAGGGCCTTTGCCTTCACCCCCCATTTGGGCCACCCCCCTTTACCAAGGGCTCCCTCGAGGGCGCGAAGTTATTCGCGCTTCGCGCTTCGCGGTCCTCCTTCCTCCCCCCCCTCCTCCTCGTCCTCCTCTTCTCCCCCTTGGGGGGGCGGCGCGAGGGCGCGAAGTTATTCGCGCTTCGCGCTTCGCGAAGCGCGAAGCGCGAAGTTGGGAGCCCTTGTTTACCGCCCGCCCGAAAAGGGTGCGGCGACGCCAGCGTGTGGTTTGCGATCGGCGCCGCTGGGGCCTGTGGGGGCTCACGGCGCTGCCGTCGTCGGGCCGCCTCGGAGCGCGGCGGAGAACCCCATCGAGGTCCGCTGTGCACGGGTTGCTCGAGAACTGTTGCGGTCGCCTACGGTAGGTTTGCGTCGTGTCGACCAGCGGCGACCCCAGCGCGGGCGTTCAAGGTTGAACGCCGCCGGCGACCCAGAATCGATCGATGTTGAACGATCGGACGTTGCGGCAGCGGCCAATCGTTCAAGGTTGAACGATCCCTGCGGTGTCAAAAACCAACGCTGGGGTCGGCACGACACGAACCTGCCGTACCCTTCTTCTTCTTCTTCTTCTTCTGTTTCTTCTTCTTTCTCTTTTTATCATCAATATTCGTATTAGTTTTCTGTTTCTTACTATCGTTATCCTTCTTCTGCTGAGGACTTCTCAGTACTGTTCCTCTTTGTTTGATTCGGGTTGTGCTTTTCATTCTTATCCTGCGAGGAAGAGCGACCAGCCGGGAGCACCTGCAGATACACGGCTCTGGAGAGTCGCCTCCTCTTGTTTCCTGTTCTCCCGCTTCGTCGCAGAGCCATGGCACTACACTGACCCGGAGTGGCGCGCAGGATCTCCTGCAGAATTTTGCAGGGTCTTGCAAGGCCCGGCTGACCCAGGTTTGCATTGACGTGGCCACGTGCACCCAGGGGGGCAGGGGAGGGGGGATGGCTGTTTAGGAGCACCCCTGCTTCTTGGAAGGCGCTGGCCTTCTCTGTAGGCCGCAAGGCTGGGGCCTTCTAAGACGCAGGGTGCTTCTCAGAAGCCTTCCCCCCTCCCCTTACCCCCCCTTTTTTCGCGCCGCCAACTGTTCCCTCCCCCTGCCCCCCTCCCCCTGCCCCCCTCCCCCTGCCCCCCTCCCCCTGTCAGTGTGTCCCCGAACTGCCGCGCTCCTCGAAGCGACGCGTGAGCGTGGCCCTTCGCCAGAATGGGCTTGTGAGGCGGGCCCGCAGGGGCCCCCCTCTGGCACTGGAGACCCACGCTCGGGTCTGGCCCCTCGCTGCCCCCTACGACCTTACCAGCCCCCTTACCAGCCTGTGCTGCACGGCTGCTCCCTCTCTAAATCCTTACCTTCCTCTCCGTCCTCTCGTTTCGCCTCGTCCGCCTCTTCGCACTCCTCCATAGTGCCATCCGAGGCTCGGGAAGTGTGCTCTTCCATCTGCTGGTGTGTTAGGCCCCAGCGCGAGTCGGCGAAACACAAGCCCGCGAACTTCCCCCCCAGGTCTGGCATCAGCTGACCTCGATGTCGATCTTGAGGAATCCCTCCGTTTCTCCGAGGGCGCATCCCTGAGACGGTCATCGCCAGGGGCCTGTCAATCTCTTGGCGGCGAGCCTGGGGGGAAGCTTGGCCTTCTCAGACGGCTCGAAAGACCCCCGGCCTCCTGCAAGATTTCCTTAAGCCGTCCCCGAAGGCACAGAGAGCCTCTCAGAAGGCGCGAGGGCTCCTGAGAAGCCCCGACGCCTTCTGAGAGGGCCTCCTCCTTCTCAGTTCCCCCCCTGGCTCGCCGCCCGATCCCAGGGATATAAGGATCAGATCGAGCCTGGCTGCGCCTGGCTGGCCTCCTCCTTCTCAGTTTCGGGCCTGGCCGGGGGGGGGTGGAGGCGCCCTGCCGGGAGCACCCGCAGAGGCGCGGAGGCGCTCGCTTCTGCGCGGCTGGCCGCCCCGCGCTTGCCGCACGGCCAGGGCCCCTTTTTCGATGCCTCCGGCTGGATCGATTGCGACCCAGACCTCCTCGCGTCGTGACAAAAATCACGGCTGAAGATTTTTCTGTATTTTCGGCCTCCGGAGGCCCTCACCGGGCCTCGGGACCGTCAAAGAACGACTGAGGATGAAAAACTGGTCCTGGGGAATGTCGCGACCTCTGGCGTACGGAAATGATGGGTTCGATGCCCAACAGCAGTTACTGCTCATTTTCAACTTTTGAGCAGGATTCGCTGTCCGCGCCGCCGCGGACGCTGTACAGTAAAGACAAAAAGACGCCTGTCGCTTTGGACAACATTTGTTGTTGGGCATTCTATCCATCTTTTCCGTACCCATTGTGGGCTTCCAGATACTCGCCTGCCGAGTCCCGCCGATTCGTCTTCTCCCGACTCGGTTGCCGATGACTTCCGCCGATCCGAGTCATGTCGATCGCCGATCCGATTTATCTCAGGAGGGAAAAACACACCGACACAATGGCTCGTCGATTCCCTAGACAGTGTGGCAACATATGGGAAGGGGGGGAAGACGAAAGTCCAGGAAATATGGCAACTGATGGGGTATCCTGGGATCTGTGTCTATTTCTCTGTGTGTTCCTGGGCCCCTCCGTGATCGATCCGATTCTGAGCTCTCCTCGCACGGCGGGTGCCCGCCTGGCCTGGCCAGCGGCGGCGGCGCCCTCGGGAGGGGAGTGGCTCCCTGCTGGAGCTGTGGGAGGGCCTCCGCACCTCTGCTCACGCTGCACCTCCAGGGGACCTCGCCCGTCCCCCAAAACTGGTGTCTTCCCTTTGTGCCCGGCGCGGGCTCGATGCTCGGGTCGGGCGAAAGGGGGGGATTGGGAAAGGGGGGGTTACGAAATTTGCTGCATGCAGCTGGTCTCGGCCTCCCCGAGGGGCCCATTCCTCGATACGTGGGCGCCTCCGGCGCCGGGAGGCGCCGGGAAAATCAGCTACGTGAGCTGATTCTCAAACCCCCCCCTTTGCTATCCCCCCCTTTCGCCCGACCCGAGAGGTGCTTGCCCAGAGATCCGAGGCTCCGGCCAGCTTTTGTTTGTTCGGCCTCCGGGGGCCCTCGCCGTGCCCCAGGGCCGCCAAGAGAGGACTCAGGAGGGAGAGCCGGCCCTGGGGAAGTGGCCCAGGCCTCGGGGGGGTCCACGCATCGAAACCACTGGAGCGCCAGATGTCTGGGTACAGAAGGGACTCGGCGCGGATTTGGCGTAGCTTCGGCGCGGATTCGCACGGATCCGACGAGTCCGACATGGGATTCGGCACGGACTCGCCGCGGATGGGGCCGCGGCGGCACAGACAAGGGCCCCCGAGGATGCAACATGATTGTGCGTTTTGGCGAAGGATTGCAAAAAAAACCCGAAGGATTGCAAAAAAACCCAGGATTGCAAAAAAACGAAGGATTGCAAAAAAACCCTTAAACGAAGGATTGCAATCCTTCGTTTAAGGATTGCAAAAAAACCCAGGGGTTTTTTTGCAATCCTTCGAAGGGTTTTTTTTTTTTTTTTTGCAATCCTTCGTTTAAGGGTTTTTTTGGAGACCTTAGGAGCGCCTCTCCATGATGTTCCAACCTACGTTCGCCTGGATCGCAAGAAGAAGTTTCGAGAACCAGGACAGCACCGAAACGGGAGGGGTTTCACGCGTCGGGCCCTCGGCGACGAGGCCCTCTCGGTGCTTCGCCCGCGTGTCGGGCAGGCGCTGCTTCGATGCTTCCTTGGGTGCTCGGACTATTTCTGTGACGGGCCTCGAGTACGATGGTCGGGTCAGACGAAAGGGGGGGATAGGGAAAGGGGGGGTACGAAATCTGCTGCATGCAGCTTGTTTCGGCCCCGCCGCTGGGCCCATTCCTCGATACATGGCGCCTCCCGGCGCCGGGAGGCGCTGGGAAAATCAGCTACGTGAGCTGATTCTCACCCCCCCCCTTTGCTTTCCCCCCCTTTTGCCCGGCCCGAGATGGGAGCAGCATCGGTGCAGGTCGGAGACCTCCCGGGTGTTCGTTTGGGATCTCATGGGGGGCTTCTCCGGGGCCTCTCTGGAGCACCCTTGGAGACTCTTGGGGGCCGCTGCGCTGCGTCGCGTGGGCCTCGTGAGAGCCTCCTGGGGTCTGTTTTTTTGTATCTCTTGGAGGCCCCTCCGCACCTTTGGTTTCTTGAAGGAGACCTCTGGACCTATGGTGTCCCCATCTATTTTAGCTGGAACCACCAGACAGAATTCCGAGCACCAAGAAATTGCCGAAACTCGAGGGCTTTCACGCGTCGGGCCTTGGGAGACACTCGTTCGACACCGTTTCGGTACTGCGGCGACACTGTGACGACACTTGTCGGGGTGCTCGGTGCTCGGAATCATTTCTGGGATGGGGTCCGTAGGCACGGTGGGAGCAGCATAACTCTGCAGGTGCTCGGGCGTGCGGGCCGAGCGCCCTCCGAAGGGCTTCGTGCGTCGCAGGCCCTTGGGGGCCTGGACCTGGGCCTCGCGTGGGGAGGCGGGCGGTGCAGGGGGGGAGGGCGGGAGAAGGGGGCGGGGGGCGGCGCTCGAGGAGTCGAGCCGGAGAGAGCCAGAGGAAGATGGAGAGAGAGAGAGAGAGAAGAGAGCGAGAGCGAGAGAGAAGAGAGAGGAAGAGAGAGAGAGGGATACGTGTGTGTGTTGTATTTATACACATTATAGAGTGTGAGAGAGAGAGGGAGAGAAAGAGAAAGAGAGAGAGAGAGAGCAAACAGCATCGCCACTGATATGCTGAGGTCTGCGCGGATCCCACGGGGGGGCGTCGCCTCGAAGAGTCGAACGAGAGGGAGAGGGAGGGCGAGGAGAGAGAGAGAGAGAGATAACCAGAGCGAGAGAGAGAGCGAGACCAAACGGAGCCGCCATGGATTTTCGTTCAGGCCTGCGCGGGCTTCGTGGCCTGGCGCCGGCGCAAGCGTTCTGCGCCCCCCGGGGGCGGAGCGCCCGTCGCGGGCCTCCGAGGAGTCCTGCGCGGGCCTCCGAACGTTTGCGCACATCCGTGCCGTTTGCAAGGGCTCCCTCGAGGGCGCGAAGTTATTCGCGCTTCGCGCTTCGCGGTCCTCGTTCCTTCTCCCCCTCCTCCTCGTCCTCCTATTCTCCCTTTGGGAGGGCGGCGCGAGAGCGCGAAGTTATTCGCGCTTCGCGCTTCGCGCAGCGCGAAGCGCGAAGTTGGGAGCCCTAGCGTTTGCCTCCTGGCGGCGCCCCGGTGGCGGTCGTGTCTCTATTCTATTCGTTGTTTTGCCGATCGGCGCGAGCCCTCGCACCCCCCCTCCCCCCCCCCCCTAGGGAGCAGACCTTGGCTGTCTTTGGCGCCCGTTTCGAGCAGGTGGGGCCTCCCCGATATGTGATGGACGCGCTGCTGCAAACAGTCGCACTAAGCAGAGGTCTGGAGCCAGACCCCCCCCCCCTCCCCCCCCGCTTCCGCCCAATGTCGAAACGCCGACTAGGAAAACGCTCACGTGTCATTCCGTGCCCGGCTGTGACCGACTCTGACTGATTGAGCGATTGACTGATTGACCGACCGACCGAGCGTCAGAGCAGGTACCCCGACCGCTGCCCTTTGGCCGTTTTTCCTTCTGTTTGGAGGCCCTCGTCGCCACCCCAGGCTTCGCCTCGAAATTCTGGCCACACCGCACCCCAGGAGAGGTCTGGGGAGCAGCGGTATCGGTTGTCTTTGGGTATCCCCGGATGGAGTGACTGACTGCTTGACCGAACGTCGGCGGCGAGCCCGAGGGGGGAAGTGAGAAGGAGCGGGCTTTCTCAGAAGGCTCGGAAGTCTCCTCGGCCTTCTGAGAAGTTTTCTAAGCCTTCCCCGAAGGCAGAAAACATTTCTGGGAAGGCGCGAGGGCTTCTGAGAAGTCCCGCCGCTATCTGAGAAAGCCTTCTCCTTCTCACCCCCCCTCGCTCTCCGCCGAGAACGAGACAGACCGATTGACTGACCTCAGAGAACAACTCGGGGAGCACGTTTGGGGCCGACTGCGGGCGCGTGCGCGCGCGGCCGTCCACGCAAGCGCACGCAGAACCGCACGCACACCCAAGGAGCACATGTTGTGGCCGCCCGCAGGCGTGCACATGCGCAGTCTGAACCCGCAGCCGGGGAGCACGCTTTAACGGCCGTCAGCGGGTGCGCGCACGCGCAACCGCGTGGATGCAGTTGTTGTTGATGATGGTGATGCAGATGCTGATGCTCATGCTGATGATGCTTATGATGATGCTGATGTTGATGATGATGCTTATGATGATGCTGATGCTGATGCTGCTGATGGTGATGCTGTGACGAGGAGGACGCTGATGCTGATGCTGCTGCTGATGATGCTGATGCTGATGCTGATGCTGATGCTGATGCTGATGATGACGATGCGGATGCTAATGCTGATGTTGATGCTGATGCTGCTGATGGTGATGACGATGATGACGACGATGACGATGACGATGACGGTGACGGTGACGGTGACGGTGATGATGGTTACGACGACAACAACGTCCACGACGACGATGAGGAGGAGGAGAAGGAGGAGGAGAACGAGGTGGAGGACGAGGTGGAGGACGAGGTGGAGGAGGAGGAAGAGGAAGAGGCACACGCCTTGTCCGCCAGTCGCACCGTGCTGGAGCCCGAGCTGCGGGCCTTCGCGCGGTGCTGCGTGATGAAGCGCGCCTGCCTGGCGCTGACCGCGTGGCACAACGGCGCGGCCGCCGCCCTCGAGGCTCTGCGGTCCTTTGGGGGCCTGTCCGTCGTCCTCGTGGAGTGCGGCGCCTTGCCCTCGAGATTCGAGGTTCGCCGTTCGAGGTTTTCGAACGTGTTCGTGGGCTCTCGGCGGCTTTCCAGCCTCGGGATGCCTTCCACCATCTGCGCCTCGTCAACATAGCGTTCCGGGGCTGCCAGAATCGTCGGGAGCGGCCGCTCGCAGTACGAGTTATGATCCGGAAGCTCCTCCCAAAACATGCTCGTGTCGTGACAGTTCGGGGGCCCTCGCTAGGCCCCGGGGCTGTCAGAAAACGGCTCGGGATGAAAACCGGCCCGGGGGTACGGGTCAGGGCTTCTAGGGACCCGTATTGAATTCGCATGCCGCATGACTGGGCTCCCTGCCCCTCCTCTTCCTCCTCGTCCCATCCTCGCCGTCCTCCTCCCGGGCGGCCCAGACAGAGGGACGTGGTTTCTCCTCTTCTGCGTTCTCCTCATCGTCTTCCTCCTTCCCTCCTCCACTCCCTCCTCGTCTTCGTCCTTGTCCCCGCACTGCCGTTTTCGATGGGGGAGAGGAGAGGAGGAGAGGAGGACTTCGAGGAGTGAGAAAGCCAGAGAGGAGGATCAAGCATACGACAACGATATTGTTGACGCTGCATGGACGTGCGCAGTGCTTATGATAGCCGATGGTCCACATGAGGCAGACGACCATTGGGCCAACATACAAATGCTTTAGCATCGATTTCCAGCGAGCGAATCTGGATTGCTCGTGTGCTCTGCCATGTAGTATAGCAGCGGTGCCAGCCGAGGCCGGCCGATTTTGCAATCGTCCCCGCTCCTACTTCTGGTGGCGGGTGCGTGCGGCTGGAGACCGCAGACTGTCCGCCTTCCGCTTGGGCGACGGGCATTGACGAAACTAACGGTTGCATCGTCCGTGTTATGTTGTCGTTGACGCCGTCGACATCACCGCAGACAGCAAGATCTACGGGAGGAGAATGAGGAGGGCCAGTGTAAGCCTAAGACGAGCCGGCGATGCTGCAATCAACCCTCCTTCCAAGTTCCCTCTTCAGAGGTCCCTGAGGGAATCCGAAGAAGAATGAGCGCGGCGCCAGGGCGACAGCCACATTTTGAAATGGGGCCGCCCTCCATCCGTGAAACTGTTGCGGATTTTGAAGACGAATGTGCGCGGCGCAGAAGCGAGAGCGACCTTTTGCAAACGGCCCGGCCAGGATCAGAAGTTGCGACGAAGTCTCAGGTCAAACGCCTGGCCAGCCCCACCGACAGGTTGTGGCGTGCGACAGGGGGGAGCTATTTTGAAGGGGCATGGCAGTGTCAGGAGGAGGAAGAGGAGGATGGATGAGGAGCAGGAGGAGGAGGGACAGGAGGAGGGCGATAAAA